CCGCCCCCGACCCCACCCGTTCCCCGCTCGTGCTCCATGGAGACTTTGTGTGACTCTGACATGCATTTCTCATGATGCGAAAATTTTGTTTCACTAGACATTTTGACATTTGACAGCTGGCGCAAAATTAACGCAGCTCGCGGGAGGAGTTGGGTGTGCTAAAAATGTGCAATAACATCTAAGTGGGCGGGAGAGCGCCACGCAAATGTCGCCCTACCGTGTTTTTTTAGTGTACGGAACCAACTGGCGTTTTCCCACAAATTTATCATGTTCGACAAGTGGCTATGGGGTTAAGCGGGTGTTTTCTGGGTGGCAGGGGCAAGTTGCGTGTTAAACGCTGCCAAGAAGATGCATGGCGATGATGACTTAATTGAATGGCAGCCCGCAAGCGGAGTAATCCCTCCCATGGAGACAGAGAGGCAGAGAGAGAGAGGAAGAGGAAGAGGAAAAGGAACGGGAAAGCAGATAAGGAGGAAGATTTCGCTGATGAGTTGGCAAATTTGAATTTGCCGGAATTAGATGTCTGGATATTTATGTGGGTGAAAGAGCACATATCCAAGGTACTTTTCTTCCTTGTGTAAGGAAAATTCCCTTTTAGCTAATGAGTATTAAAAAAATGGTAGAGAGCCAGCGAGTCCTTAAGATGTATGTGTGGAAAACCTAAACTTATTGTTGAAACTTTCTTAATTTTGGATTTGCAGAAACATTTAGGATTCTTTAAGATATATATGGGTGATTCCATATCAGATTTACAGTCGATATTGGGAAATTCGATGAGATATTTTTTTCATGCTCTTTATCGAAAATAAATCGACACGTATTTTTTATTTGGCTCAGAAAATTTTTTTGACACAGTTATGATTTTTTGAATTTTTGATGAACTGCCCTTTTTTTGATGACAGTCGCGTTTTCCAGCCCCAATAACTCGAAAACCGTACGTCGCAGGAAAAAATCTATAGGAAGTAAAAATTTCATCCTTCCTTCTTCTTTGCAAAACTTTCGTGAAAAAATTTTTTAAACAATTTTTCACCACAAAAAGTTCAAATGTTTATAACAAATTCATTTTTCTCCAACTTGGACATTTTTGATTTTTTTTTTTTTCACAATAAATCCTTCAATTTCTTCTGATGAACATACTAAAATTTCAGAATGGGATCAAAATTAGTTTTTGAGTTATAGAATTAAATAGCATTAAAAATTCATTTTATTGACCCTTACTATGCGCGCGCGAAGCGAATTGACGCGCGGACCGTGCATGATAATCTTTAAAATTCTATAACTCAAAAACTAATTTTGATCCCATTCTGAAATTTTAGTATGTTCATCAGAAGAAATTGAAGGATTTATTGTGAAAAAAAAAAAATCAAAAATGTCCAAGTTGGAGAAAAATGAATTTGTTATAAACATTTGAACTTTTTGTGGTGAAAAATTGTTTAAAAAATTTTTTCACGAAAGTTTTGCAAAGAAGAAGGAAGGATGAAATTTTTACTTCCTATAGATTTTTTTCCTGCGACGTACGGTTTTCGAGTTATTGGGGCTGGAAAACGCGACTGTCATCAAAAAAAGGGCAGTTCATCAAAAATTCAAAAAATCATAACTTTGTCAAAAAAATTTTCTGAGCCAAATAAAAAAATACGTGTCGATTTATTTTCGATAAAGAGCATGAAAAAAAATATCTCATCGAATTTCCCGATATCGACTGTAAATCTGATATGGAATCACCCATATATTGAAAATCAACGAATTTAAGAAATTAAAAAAGTTTATAAATGTTTTCTTATATACCTACAAATGTCTTTTGCATTTTATAAACTCTTTAAACAAATTTGTATTTCTAGTTTAAACATCGACGCTCGAATGTAGGCAACAATTTTTTTTGTTCCTCTGGCCTTCGGGGTCTTCAATTTGATTTAATCTTTTGATAGCCAAGACTTCTGACATCAACCGCCTCCTGAAGGCCCGAAGCCCACCGAGAATGTGCAGTACGGTGCCTTCGGTCCACCGACAATAAATCCTCCTTCATCTCCATCTTCAACGGGTTATTGTTGATGCTTTTGTTGTTTCTACAGGGGCTGTTGTTGTTGTCTTTTGTTGTGCGGTTGATGGAACACGTTGTCAGAGCGTCTGTCCTTGTCTCTCTCTCTCTCTCTCCCTCCAGCTCCCTCTGGCTGAGTTGCCTCTCTTTCTGTTATACACATGTCAGCCGCAGATATATCCATTCATTGTTGTCGACGGCTTTCTCCTGTTTTGGGCAAGAAGACGGAAGTGGAAGGACGAGAAATCCAATTCGGCCTGATTTTGACACCCGGCCACTGGAAATTTTTGTACGGAATTAGAAGTCGGGAAAATGAGTTTTGCTGCCCCAATCAGCTTTTTATTCCATGGAGGAAGCCTGATGACAAACAGTCGAGAAGTGTTCAAAACAGAACGATATCCTTAAGCTTTGTTTTTTTTCTCCTTTTATACTTGTGTAGAACATATTGCTATTTCCACTCTGGAATTAGCAAAGCAGCTTTTTCTTCTCAAAACCATATTATCCTTTACAGAAGCCGATCAAAGTTTGCATTTACCCCATCTTAAATCTGTCGCCAACAATTGTAGCTCCCTAAAAATTGATCATTTATTTAGAGCAAATTTGCACTTTGTCATTTATCCCTTCACGTAGATTTATGTTTACCAACTGTCACAAGTGGAGACTTTAAGGAAAAAGGGGGAACTGAATGGAAAATGCAAAACTTTCCCCATTTCATAGTTGCTTTGCCTGTCACATAAAATACTATGGAAATGTGCATAAATATATCGAAAAATGCAGGACGAGAAGCAGATAAAGCAATGTAAAATACGAACAGCAAACGACAATTGACCCACAGTTTTAAGGCCAAAACAATTCTCGATTTTGGCCTTGTTGGCTCAGAGTTCTTTATGAGAGATTGGGCCAACAAGTCGAGTGGGTTGAGTTTAGTTAAGGTCTTATCTTGAATAGCATCGCAATTGAGGTGGAGGAGTGGGTTGGCAGAAGGGTTAACAAGATGGACAAACAGAAGGACGGACAGGACGAGAAACTGCTGGGGAAGATAACTTCAATTCGATGCTTTGAAAACATCCTTTCGTTTTGTGTTTTCTTGTCTAGCTCTTCTGTAAACCTTCACCCTTCTTCCATTGTTTTTTTCACAGTTTTTTTTCTTATTTTACAAACAAAGAACCACATGAGTTTTCTATTGTTGGTTGTGGCAAATATTATTGTAAGGAAACCAAATCTTTAATGGATACCCCTTTTAAGGGATTAATATGAGTTGATCATGACAACAAAATAATTTGATGAATTCTATATGCGTTCCATCTTGTTTAAATTTCATAATTCTTTTAAAGTCAATAACTGAAAAACAGAGATACTCTCATATAATAAGGCAATAAATAAGCTCTTTCTTATTATAATGACTGCTTTCTTTTCCAGAACTCAACTGAATTTGTATTTATATTTGCATAAATGGAGCTTTCACCAGCGATCCAAGCAGCGCCAAACAAATTGCCAAAAGTTTTTCCAAGGCGGAAGAAAAGATGGCACACAAACCAAAAAATAAAATAGGAGCAACAGTAGGCAAGGGCGCCTGGGGCCTGGAGAAAAGCATTCCAATTGAAAGTCAAAACAAACGAGCTGCTCTTGGGGCCACGCCCCTCACTAGCCTCCTCACTGCCAGCCGCCTCCGCTTCAGACATTGTCTTCTCTGCTCATAAACTTTTTGGCTTTCGGCACGTTTTGCCATTATCCATATGCTGGCAAACCTACCCCTTGCATCCCACCCCCCCCCCTCCCCTCCACTCAAATGCTTTGCATATGTGCAGTCGCAACCGGAAACGGAAATGAAGCACAAAAGTTCAGTTCTGCTCAACATACGCTCCGACTCCTGGCAGCCATAATAGTTAACTATACATTTGTTGGCCCTTGCTTCGCAGGCTTCCCTTTTTGCCAGCTATTGTTTAAAGTGATTTTATGAGCCCCGAGTCCGACTCCTGACCATAATTTACTTAAACCGAGGAGCAGAAAAAACAAAACTTTAAAATAAAATAAAAGCCGAGAGCTCATAATTCATGGCCAGCACTAATTGTCCATCTGTCTGGCTGCCTTTGTAAAGCCATAATTAAATGCCGGCAGGACGAAGGACGAGGCGTCGGAGGGTCTGGTTGTGGATTTGAAGTTTTATTTTGTTTGCTGCCATCCCCCAATTGAGCTCCTGACCTGCGAGCTGTTGATGAAAGCGGCTTTGAATTAAGTCCCCAGTGGAGCTGATGGCATATTGCGCATACGTCACGTGGTCCACAGAAGGGGTAAGCTGCTCGAGGCCCTCAAATTGCGCTCAGTAGCCGTCCCCTTGGCCAACCGAAGCTTGTCACTGCTGCAGTTGAAGGGATTGCCCAGAGATTTATACACTAAATGGGCCCAAAGCCCTCGAGGTTGGGTCATCAAAATATGACAAAGCCATTGGACCATCTATCGAGAATTATGACTAAGCGGCTTGATAAATGCCCGCTGAAAGTTGTTTCTTTTTCTATAAAATGGGAAGGATCGCAAATCACTTTAGTAATATTTAATGGGCCAGCATGTCTATTTAAAAGCTCATTATTGCAATGCCTATTAAGATCTTGCATTTTAATTATTTGGATTGGCTTCCGGTTTAATTCAAAAACAAAAAAATGGTTTATACATTTTTTGTGCTTTACTACGATAAAATCTAAAAATAATTACGTTAATTAAAACTCAATGCTAAGTATTTGTCACACATATGTTTTTGCCAGTAAAATGTATAATTACTGCTGCAGCAGAAAATTAATTCAACATATTTAATGCCTCTGTAATCCGTCCTAAACTTTTCATGCGGCAACAGCCAACCGAATGCAATAACAAAATTCGTCACAATTTGTTGGAATCATTTAAAATATTTTCCCTTGCTGCCCGTCATAGCACGTCAATAATTTTTCTCTCTCTCTTATTTCGATTGCAGAACTTTGGCGTCTAAGCGAATTCCAAACCAGTCAAAACAGCCAACAAATAAATAAATCATTTGAGGTAAGTTCGGAATGCAGCGCGAAAACAAGTTAAAAACTGAGGGCGCAACCAAAAGCGAAAACTACAAACTGCAAACAGAAAGTCATTTGCAGTGCTTACCCTCGCCACATCCGCAATTTCAATTACACAACTTTTTGGGGAGCGTGGAGCATTTGCTCATTAAACCAAAGGCAATCTCCGTCTGGATTGCCTTGCATCTTTATCTTCACAAATGTGGAAAACTCTTACTAAAGCCCATGTCAGGCTTAATGGTTTAATTAAATGGGATTTTAACTAAAAAGGGCATAGGATGGGACTCGAGCAAAGGGGATCTAACGAGGGACAGGCGATAAATCCGTGGGGATTTCATAACAAACATGGCACTCTAACTTTTGTCAGTCCGCGCGCTGTGTGAAACTCAAGAGATCTCGAAGATGCTCATACGCCGCGTTGCCCTCGGCAGCAGCAGAAATAGATGGAGCAGCACAGCGAACTGCAGCAGATGTTTGCCTAACCATCCTCATGGCTCAAAGAGGGGTGAAACCCCTTCCAATTCCTGCCCGCCCCCATCTCCACCAGAAGATTCTCATCAAAACGAGAGCGAAATGCAATTCAAGCAATTTTCAATTTTCATTTTTAGAGCCGGAGACGGATAAAACCGCCCAACAAGAAGATATATGTATTTACACCGTAAAAAATACTCACAGGCAACCAAGTCTTTATATAGATTAAGATTGTAATCATTTATCAGATCGTAAAAAAGTGAATGTTACTCGTTGTTAAGCCTTAGAACTAATTTCGGTTGGCTTAAGATAAACATATTAGGGTAATCATGAACTGAAATTTACGCCTACTCCTAACCCCACATAAATTACCATGTTTTTTTCAGTGCAGGTAGAATCCATGCATATAGCTTCTGCTATAACCCACTGCAAACTTGTCGCGTTGGAAAATTCCCATCATTCCTGCTGGTCTAAGGCCAATTTCTCGATTCGCTATCCTTGCGCGTTTGGCAAATTGCAGTCGGGCGTTAGGCCATGACACGCCCCCTTCGCCGCCCCCATTTCTGCACCGATTCCCTCGGGGCTTAAGCAATGCGTTAAAATCGAGAGGAAGTAAAAGCGAAAAACTTTGCCCAAAGATTCTTTTTGCCTCTTGCCACTTTCGAGTTCCTCTTTTCCGTTTGGCCTTGTCTGCTTTACTAACTTTCGCTGTTGTTGCGCACAAAATGAAGGCATTAATGCTAGATTTTATGGATTCTTTGTGCCTCTCCGCGCTTTTTTTCTTTAAATGGCATTAAGTTTCCCTTTCTGTTTGTATTTCTCTGTGTTTTCTTTATCTCTTTTTGCTTTCGGGCGAAAGGAGGAGAGTCGTGAAAAGTATTTAAAACTGTGGCGAATGAAGCCAAGTTAACAACTGGCAATGAGCTTTGGGTCTCCCGTTAAGTGCATTCGAATAACGGTAAGCTACTCCGGTTAATCTTCACTTGCTATTTTATTCCGTACTTTCCCGCTGCTCCTGATCCCTTTGATGTATTTTAAGCTTGTAGCCGCCTAGCGAATAAAAATAAGTGCCACGGGATTCGCAAGTGTTATATTACCGAGTTAAAGGGTTAATGATTTAGTTCCAATTTAAGTAACAGACCACGAGTTATATACGATTTGGCGACCATTTTCCTGTAATCTTTTATTACAACACAATTCATAAAATGATTTTTCTTTTTGGTACATTGAATCAAAAAAGGTCTGTATAACTTTGTTTAACAAAAAAGTTTATAATTGATTAATGGTTGAGTGTGCAACCAATAGCCAACACGTTTTAAAATTAAACACTTTACAAACGAAAGTTAAACTGTAATGTATATTAAAGCTTTAATTTAATTTGCATTTACCATTAGTTTGTTTTTGCTCGCGATTCTCGACATTCCATATTCATTACTCTATTCCCCGCAAATTGAAGTTTCAGCGGAAAAAGTGTAGTTCGCTTGGCAAACGATTAATATCTGACCCCGGCAACAAAACTGACAAATTCTCACAATTAGGATAGCCAGATGAGGCTCCTTTTCCCTTTTGCTCTGCTTTCCAAGCTTTGCAAATATTTGCGCGCAATTTTTCATATTAAACGACAGGCGGAGGGGGCGTGGCAGGAGGTGGCGGAAATAAAAATTGCAGGCGAGACTACAAAAACTTGCCCCAACTGTGATCAATCTTCGTGGTAGAAGGAGTGAAGCGAGTGGGGTCCCAAAAAAATAAGAGTAGAATGATTCGGAGGACAAGGCAGTTGCAACACTTTTTGGAGCTCCCCGGGGTTCTGCTCAGCCTGCCATGTCCTGTCAGGAATGAAGAGAAGAAAAAGGAAATAGCGAAGAGAAGAAGAGAAGAAGAGAAGAAGAGAAGGAGAGATAAAAGGGGGAAGAAAGAAGCAAACAAGCAACAGGAAAAGCAACCTTCGACCATTGGCCCCAAACCGGGAAATTGCAACATATTTGCAATTGTCGTTAGGATGCCGAAAAGGACCAAGAAGCGAAAATACTCGTAGTTTTGAGGACGAAAAGGACCAAGAGGAAGAGGACTTAGTGGAGGCGACAGCCGGGCAATTGCCCAAATGAATGAAGATGAAGTGAACCGGGTTTTGGCCGGCACTTGAACTGCCTGCCAGCACTCCGGGCCAAGATTGATTGGCCTCCGGTTGAAGTCGAGTCGCAAGGGGTGAAAAAGTGTCACTTCGCGTTCGCCCTTCACTGTCCTCGAGCCACTTTTGTTCCTTTTTGCCCTGAAATTAGTTGGCCTGTCAAAAACTTAACGAGGCCAACGGGTGACCAGCGATGAAGACGATGATGGCGCCGGCCAAGTCGCTCGAGGGAAGGGTGCAATCAAAGTGCAACAATGGTAGAAAGGCAAAAGTGTTTGAGGAGCGCAAAAGGAGACAGGCGAAGTTTGGAGTCCGGAAAAACTCATCATTGAGCAGACCATTTGGCTAAATTAAATTTATTCTAACGCATCATATCAATAAAAATATAGAATCTATCTTTTAAACATTTTGTCTTATTATTAAAGTATTCTCATTCTATTAAAGCATTTCTCACCTTATTTAAAATAAAAAAAAAAGAATAAATGATGCTGAAAAATCCATAAACGAAAACACTTCCTAGGCTATATTACAGTTCGAAAACTTTCAGTCCCATGACTTAAAAAAACCATTTAGGTGTTAACCTCTTTAACACTTTCTTATGCCACTGACCCGATTCGATTCATTTCAATTTCCATGCCATTTATGCCATTCCACATTTTACCCTTTCGATCCTATCGTATATGGCAAATATTCTACATTGGTTTTTGCCGCCATTCATTGTTGTTTTCTGAAACTATTGCTGCTTTGTTTTGCAATAAACACTTCGTGCTGCTTTCAGCTGAGCCACTGCCCTGCCCATTGACATTACCATTACCGTTGGCCCGCCCCTTCGCCGACCTCTGACCTCCTACCTCCCAAGCTTCCCAATGCCCTTCAACGCTTGCCAAATGACTTTGGAATAGTTTTTCTCGTTTCTTTATGGTCTAAACAGTTGCCTCTGTTGCGGTTGTGTAGGTAGTTGCTAACCTTTGGCCTTTCAAGTCATTTGTATTTTTGTGCGCTTTGTTGCTTATCTGCTTTTCAGGTGCTTTGCTGGTTTTTTGCTTTTGCCACCGCGTCATTTTACTGACTCGTCTTTGTCGCTTATCTGCTTTCCTTTATTACTGCTACTTTTTCCGATCTGCTCTTGCTTTGAGCTTTTGGCTTTGATGCTATAGTGAGTGCTCTTATGCGTTTCCTTTGACCTGCTGTAAATTAAAATCTAAAAAGTTGAACAGCCTACTGACAGTAGTTAATATCATCTAAAATCTGCGTGCTCTGCAGAAATTTCAATACTTATAAAAGCTTTTAAAGGCATCATTCAATTAATTTTACCCCATTTTCAATCACACTCCAGTTCCATTAGCATTTTGCCCATTTTGTTCACAGAAAAAATGTTAAATATTAACTTGCATATTAAAAAAGATGCTGTGGACATAAAAACGATCGTTTATTATTCAATTATATTCGGTTTTTTTAAGCAGAGAAAATATGGTAAAAGCATACTGGATTTTCAGGAAAGTCTCTCTGCTTTGTTTTCAATCTAACCACAGTGCAGCCACGAGCAGTGTAAGTCGACAACAGTGCTGAAATTCTGCATACGCAATGTTGGTAATGTTCCACATACGCACTGTCTGACGGAAGACTTTTTGCTCGTGTTGCTTTTACCGCAACAATGCACTGGCCTTTTGTCCATTTGTTGATTCTGCTCCGCGGCAGTGAGCCAAATTACCTTGTCGCTGTGGCTTAGATACCTGTAGTTTTTATGCATGGTTCCCTTAGAGCTTACGAGGATATTCCATTAACGAACATCTCTAAAAACAAACATAGACTATTTTTTTGTGCATTTTTGATAATGAAAAACCACCGGGATTTTAATTTGGATTTAAATTCTTCTGAACAAGTTCGTTTTGTAATTATTTAGCCCTGCAATTCCATTCAATTTTTTAATAAAAAAAATGTGCTGCTAAATGTAGATGAGTACTTAAAGGACTCCTCTTTAAAGGTTACAGTTGCACCTAACAGACATGTTACTGGGATCCTAAATGTTTGCTCGTTTCGCCTTCCCCTTTGAATGACGACCAACTGTTGAGCCTAAACGCTGACCTGCCCACCCTTCGACCCTCTTTTTGGATCCTTTGGCATAGTTCTTGTTCCCAAGGCGCCTGCAACTATTTATAGCCCCCACTCATACATGCCGCTCGCTTCTCACTTGCCGCTGCTCTCGAAAGTGTGCTACAGTTTTTGTAGCTCTTTCCCCGCCTCTCCCCCTCACCAAACCCCTTTTGGCCACTCCTTGCTAGCCACTTGTCAACTGTTGACGTTTCTTTGTTGTCTGCCTCTTGCTGCCGATCTCGTCTCTCGCTCTCTCTTCCCGTGGCACATCGTTGCTGTTGATTTGCCATCTCTGT